TCATGGACGGCCTGCCGGTGACGGTACGTCTGCTGGACCCTCCCTTGCATGAGCGCAGCCCTCAGTACGGACACCGTAAGTACTGCCTCGGCAGCAAAACATGACAGTATGTAGATGATAGTCATGATATGCGTTATAGTAGTTATAGTCTAAACTCGTTAAAGGGGATCATATAGGGGACTATTAGGGGGTTATTAAGGGGGATACTAGGAGTTCAGACAATACGTCATATGAAGGTTGACAGGAATGCAGCGGTACCAATCGAGTAACAGTACTAATCAAATTCCACAGAATCCTTAACAAACCGTGCGGAGAATCCATTCCCTCATGCCCTGCAAGGTCGTTGCCAAGCTTAAAACAACCAAACAACAACGTCTGAAAGCTGTACGCCCCAAAATCAGTGGGCTCCGAGGTTCATCCCGCACACGGAAGCTGAGATGGGCTTGGTGGCAAAGGCAGCCGGTGTGCCCTTGGATCATTCCTAAGAGGTCTTAGGGTTTAGGGTTATTCGGGATGATGACTTGGGGTTTAAGGTTTCGGGATGAAGGTTCGGATTTCGGAATCCGGTTTAGAGATCGCGGTTGAGGCTTTAGGGATTAGATCTTGCGTTTAGGGAAGCACACAACTATGAACGCAAGGAGGGCTAGAAGCCCGAATCTGAACAAATCCTTTTGTACCCCAGGCACGACTTCCTCCTCCGTCAATCTGTGAAAACAACAAGCCCATGATTTAGGTGCCTTTGGATCGTGTGCGCCGCCGCGCCAGTGAGCTGCAAGAGGCCAATCCCATGCTGGGCCACCGAGGTGCAATTGCCCTCAAGTCAAAGATGGCAGGGATGTTTTGTGAAGCTTTCAAGATGAGGGGTCCCAACTCATCTCTTGGGGGAGAATGGGCGGCTAGCAATTCCTAAAGCGATCTCAAAGCGAAGCCCCCTTACCTCCCCTCGCCCCCTTCAGGTTGCCGTCTGGCAATCACATATCCGGAGATCTGTGAGATGCAGGCAGGGGACTTTGCAGTCCTTACCCCACACATCCGTGCTATCATCTCTGAAAGTCCCCCTCTACTCCTTGCATCCTATCCGGGCGTATCAAGGCTATGCTTATGCTATAAGCCTTCTGCGGTACCTACCTGTGGGTCCACCTCTCAGCAGGCTCGCGCCATCTTCGAGGCGGCAGCAGAGGTCGGTCGCAGCGCCAAGAAGACACCGGTGGCTGAGGTCATGGTACCTTTGGTGTCCACCTTGGAGGCAGCTGTTCTGTTCAAGAGGAATGTTCTACAGACTCTCCTGCGAAGTTTCCATCTCCCTAAAAAAAGGGCTCTGGCTTTAGAAGCCATGCAACCATAGATTTGAGTCAATCGGGGGTATGTTCAAGCGAGGAGCTGGTTCAGCTGAAGAAGGTGATCGAGGCAACGGCCCAGCAGGTTCAGAAGGAGCAGGGCGTGAATTTCACATACCGCGTTGGAACTATGGTGGGAGCTTCCAAAAAGGAGTCCTTCTATGTCCTTCTTGTAAGGTGCTTGTGTACGACTTGCCTAGTTTTGGGTCTGTTTACCCTTCACCCTGATCCCAAACTCGAAACCTCCCTAACTCCGAACCCCAACAACCCCAAACCCCAACAACCCCAAACCCCATTACTCCAAATATGAAACCCCATCCTTTGCGGAACGCTGTGAGGTGGAGCTACCCCGAGCTGCACTGCAAGCAGGCCGCCTCGCAGAGCAAGCGGAGTTCT